TTAGCGAGACGACATTGGAGAAGACGCGTATCCTTCGAGCGGTAACGTAAATCTATCTGCCGTCAGAACGCAATTACGGTAACTTCTCGCGCAACGCGGCATCCCGCTAAACCGCACGTATGACTTATTATTGTTTCTCCGCTGTCATGCACACTTTGTACGTAGGTATAACGCGTAGTACGTGGTACAGGGATTGGGCGGACGTGTGCGCGACAAGTACCGGAGGAGAGGATTCGTTCGTGAAAGCGCGATATTCTGGTTTGCACAATTAATTAATTATCTTACGGCGTGTTGCGGCATCTACGGTTCCATAAACCACGGATTTTTTCAAAGTCGAGCGAATCGATACGTCACTGAGATTCAGCCTATGCGTGTGCAAAAAGTGCAAATCTCGTAAAAGAAGCTTCAGTTATAATTTAAAGCACGTCTAAATAATTGGTAATCGAAATTATTTTTTTAAGGAGAATATGTAAGAAGTTCTTATAATATATGAGAAGTGTGGAAACGAGAAAAAATTTAGAAAAGATGACAAATGTTAAAAAATTAAAAATTTTGATGTAAAATATACATGTCAAAATGCGTGTATTCATATTTAATTATAGACACATAAATGGTAGTAATGAAACTAAAAAGGTTCAGATGATTTTGTTAAAAGGAATTATTAAATATTTGACATGTATCTAAAATATTATATAAAATAAATAAATTTTACCAATAAGCAGAATGAGAAAAATTTGACGTATGTAGTTCATTACAAATGACTAAGAACTATCCTCGAGCATTAATTAAAGTTAACGAAGATCTAAAAAATTATCTTCTAATTATCTTAAAAGAGGTGAAGCATCTCAATTAAAAAAATATCTATTTTATTCAACAAACAAAATATTATATTCGTGAGAATATATATACTTCTGTATTATTTCTAATAACTGGTAAAAAAAAAATAATAAAAATGATTATTATCTCCATAATTAATTTCCTTCCTGCGAAGACTAATCAGGATAGAATTACTTGCGGTTTGCTCGTTAGATTCTCAAGGAGCACGATTTCGTCGTTTTTTTTTCTCATCCGCATACGCGCCGATGAAGAATCGCGCGATTTTCTGTCGTGGTCATTGTGGCCGTTTCTATCTTGTTATATGGAAAAAAGATCGGATCGAAGGTTCGCGGAAAAGAGGCGGATTGTAAGAGAGGCGAACGAGAGAGACGACACGAGGGGCGTAACGACATCGCGAGAAATGGTGGAAGCAACGGGGGGGTAGAAGAGTCAGGAGGCTAAAACGGAGGAGGAGAAGGAAAGCGATTACCACGACGACTTGTATCCTGCGCCTCGGTTAGCTCGGTTAGAAATAAACAGCGGCCGCTGGTTATCCTGAAACGTTGCATTATCCGTTGCAGCGAGATGGAACGCCTTGGACAACGTCCTTGAGCGCGGAAACGCACTTCGGATATATCACGGCGGTACCGTAGGCGAGCGGAAAAATCAAACGTGCTAAACGAAGATCACGCCCGTGCCATCGTTTAATTTTGTTCAATCTTGTCCGCGGCGTGAATTTCTCTCAGTTCGCTTTGCGGAAATCTAACATCGTGTGCTATCACTATCATTTAAAAAAATTTAATTTCTGATTATTAATTTAATTCCTTGAAAAAGAACGCAATATTTTTTAACTACACAGTTCACTTACATTTCTATGTATTACTTAATTATAGTAAAAACAAAATTATATATCTATACAAAGGATTGTACGTATCAGGTTTCATAACACACCATACAAGATTTTAATGGCGTATTTTGAAGATTAATTATAGTTAAAAATCTTGATACGAAAAAGTCGAGATCAAAAATCTTCTGAATTCTGATCAAAGTGGTGCATGTACGGTTTACGCGTTTATAAGTGTGCTTATAATTCAAGTTATGAATAAGTATAAATTAACAGGCTATAAAAAAATTAAGATAAAATTGTGTGGCATGTTATAAGATTAGATACAATCAGCAATCATTAGTACATGTTTTATTAAGTAACACACTTAATAAAACTAGCTATGCTATATGATTATAAAAAATTTCCCTATCTTTTATTCATGCCTGTGACATAGATTATAAAACAATCTTTAATTATGCTGTCTCGCATTATTTATTTCATTTTGGATAGATAAGAGGAGATTGTAGTAGGGACTAGTATTGTGTATGTAATGAAGTTTACTTTGGTAAATTTAAAAGTTGAAACGATGCAACTAATAAAAAATCAAGGAATAGTTAAAATATAACTGCATGAAAATCTAAAGTCGAAACTTGATTGCATTTACATTAGAATTAGATAAATAAATTTTCATCGATAAGCAATTTACATTGACGAAAATTCAAAGCTCGCGACGCGTAATAATGTATACTTATACTACAATACAAATATCGTTGGATAAATAATCATCTGCCTGTAAATATAGTAATTCATCAATAATTTTTCTGTCACCATTAATTAAATGAATAAATCCCGCGATACATTCGCTCTGAGCCAGCGCTTCGATATATTTCGTTAATTATAGCAATTAATTAATCGCCGAATGTTCGTAGAGTACGATTTTGTTTTGAGGAGTAACGAGACGACTTCGGCTACTACCTGCTCGCTTGAGTGTCAACGCACGAATGATAGCGCTGTGTGATAGCTTTGCGTACACGCTACCGCGCGGTACGCGGCACAAAAAACAAACACCGAGGTGACGCGCCAGCTGTTAGCTCCCCGAAATCATTTATCTTTTAGAAATTTATTTCTCATCGATAATATAATAATAATAATTTTATTTCTCGCGCTACAAATTAATTATTAACAAGTGCTCGATACTTGCGGCTTTCTATTACGTTCTATCATTCGCGTATCACTCCGCGCTCTCAATCCGAAAATGTGTGTATGTATAATCGACAAAAAATGCAAATCGCGTCACGAGGTATTATTCGAACTTAAGCATCGTTAGAAAGACAATTCTACCATCCATAAGCATTGCTACGGGACAATGATTTATTCTCCCACATTATTACTTTGATTCATACGTCGAGTGAATAAATCATGGGAATATTCTGCGTCGATAAATAGCCATATCGTATCGATTAGCTTACGAGTTATTAATTGCAAAATTTAATTACTTGCGTGGATAAATAATCGCTTAGCTATTAATAAATCATCGAGTTTGGCGTTTTTAAGTAATTGTCACGTTCGTGTTTTGGAAACGATAGGCTGCCACCTCGCTGTTGGAGCGTCGCCGTGCGAATGGCGGAGAAGTGATTGCGTACGCACGACGGCTAGGACGCGATGTATGCCGCCAAAACAGACACTTCGTGAGGCAACTTGCTGTTCCACAAAATGTTTAACGTATTGTAAAGTAAATGTCGAATATTCATTGCGTTTCGACAAACGTCCTATTATTTGTATATTAAATTAAATTTTTATTTAAAGAATAAAATCCATCTCATTTTGATCATTGATAAAGATATATTATTACTTCGAACTTTTGAATAAAAATGCATGTTTCGAATAAATAAAAAATTTTTCTTAATCTTTTCATAAATCAAGGAAACGAAGTTAAATCGTTTCAAAGAACGTGGCAACTCTTTTCTCTGATTGGTTAAAATGGGATTTAAAAATGGGAAGTTCCATTCCGATTTATTCCAGATTATCAACACACATCAATACACATACACACTACTTTGTTCTTTCTGTTATTTTTTTATGCATTCGCAACTGTGTATCCGCGATAAATAAAAGCGCGCTGCGCGATATTTCTGGATATTTGTAGCTCAATTATTATTCATTATTGGCATCATTAGCAAATATTATTAGAGCACAATATATGCACAAACGTTAATTAAATTAATGGAGACTCTCGATTGTTGTAGAGTGCTTATTGCAATAAAATTAAACAGAAGTGGAAATGCAGAGAGTACATGTCCAATTATAGCTAAAATTATCATCAGCTGTTAGAGTTTTCTAATAATATTTTACCGCAGGTGCAATTGTAATAGATACGCGATGTGAGACGATCTAACGAAAATTTACCCCTTAGAAGAATATCTAATAGCTACGACAAGTGCAGGAACGCTTTAGATAAAATAACTACCCGTTTGTCGCGCGGTTGCATCAAACGTTTTCATCCTTCACGCTGTAATTACCTTTGATGCCCATACCGTAAGACTTGTCGGCACAAACCGACGGTGCATTAATGAATAATTAATAATCGCGAATGGATATAATCGCGGCACGTGCAGCCGCGGCGCGACACGACGATGTGGCTGTCGCGCCGCGTCGGTGTGCGTCTGCATTCTCTGCTCGCTGTTTTAAATAATGTCCGAAGGAAGTATAGCTGGGGTGATGCTGCGCACCACCGGACCTTAGGGTCGGCGGAATCCGCCGCGTGCGGATGCGATGCGGAGAATCCGAGAGCAGGAAAGTGGCCGCGGGCGCGTGGGCCCGGGTGGGCAGGGCCTCGGGGTCAGGGATCACCGGGCGGCAGAAAAGAAACCGGGGAAAATGTTCCTGCCGCGAGAGATACTCTATCTCTCGGCTCATAATGCGCAAGTGGGAGGCTGCACGCATACGCACGCATAGAGAAGGAAAGAGGGAGAGAGAGAGAGAGCGCGCGCGCTATGCGCTCGTCCTCCGTGTGCATCGCGATGCGGACGTGCAATCTCCGTGAAAGAAAGGGACCCTTTTGTCCGCTCTTCTTCCCTCCTCGCTTTATTGGGCTTTGTTTTACCTCGCCTCCACCTCCGGAGAATGCGATTCGTTGCGCTGCGGACGCCATGTGATCTTCGAGACACACGCGCGAGTATATAATATGTCGTATATAATGCGCGTAGAATAAGAGAGAGAGGAAGAGGGAAAGAGAAAGAGAGAGAGAGATGGGAAGAGGCGGAAATTCGCTTACAATTAGAGAGATTTTTCTCTTTTTATCTCTTTCATTTTCAATCATTGACGTTCAATAGCAATACTATAATTGTATCGTTTTCAGGTGACCCCATGATAACATCCTCTCTGAAGGGTAAGTGACCATCGACGATCTTTTTTTTTTTTCTTACTTTGCATATATTTTCCCTATTGAAGGATCCACGAAAGGATTCCCAACGCGAAGTGTTTGTCCCTTCCCATCGAATTGAAAACGACAATACGACGAGTCGCTGCTCCCTTCTGCATGCGTTTTATCAGTTACATTATATGTCCACGCTTCTTATATTATACAATATTTTCGTAGATTATAGAGAAAATAGCTAGAGACTTCGATTTATATAAAGCAACAAACAGCCGAATTATTTCTAGTGATTATTTTTAAATCATTCTAGAAGAGATATCATTTTAGAAAAATAGTTAACATAATAAAAATGTATATCAGAGTATTCTAGCATACGACCCGAAGAAGCTATCGTATGCACGTTGGTATTATTTCGATTATTATTACTTCTCTAGAACGATGTTTTGTAAAGTCGGTTTTGCTGGGATGATCAAGAAAACAAGATTAGTAAGAAATAAACGATACAGTTGACATGAATAGATAAAGAATTCGTAGATTGGGCAGATATCTCGTGCAATTAGAACGGCGGATGCACAGATAAATTATCATGTATGCAGGTACGCAACGGAGTTGCATTCAATCGACTCGCGATATTTCGCGAGAAACACGAACTAACTAAGGGTGGGAGAGAGGCCGGCGGATACGCGAAGAGTCGCCCGGCCTTGTGACGTCATATCCTGTCATGTCTTCATACACACTCGCGTTACGATAGTCACGAAGAGCACAAAAAAAATCTTATGCATACCTCTCTAAAATGTTATTCATCTTTATTCATTCTTCGTGCTCATCTTCAAGTCGCGTTCTAAGAGACCAATGATGTGGCCGTGATGTTTTTTTACAAAGCTTTAAAATTTCTCGAACTTCTCTTCAATATTTAATCAATGAAATCCCGAACAAATGAATACAAAATGATTTGCTTCCATCGTTTTGTACTTTTTGTCAAAGTTCATACGTTAAATGTAAGCTACGTGATTTTAGAATTCTGATACAGTAATGATTCATTTAATGTGTAATATAATTTGACATAGCAAATATATCATTATAATCATTCTTCGGAATAAAACGCGTGTTTTATAAAGCAGCCGCCCCAATCATTTTATTGTTTTATCATTGTAATTCCCGTTGCCATGATTTCAACCATTTTTAATAGCTTGCCAACACGTGTTCGCGTCATGGCAACTCGAGTTGAGATGTAATCAATCGTAATTATGATATATGAACGTCTTCGTTCCATCGTGCGATAGAAGTACCTGATTTTCGATAATAATCTCTCTATTGTTGGTTGATTGATTAGTTGTCGAGTGTGCAATGTGTTTGTATTTGCTTTTAAGGTACCAACCGAAAGAACGTTTCAATTAAATTATTTTAATAAGAATATATAATTTTTAATATATTTTTAAATTGTTTACTATGACTTATATATTATCTTAAATTGATCTGTATTTTTTTTATTATGCCTGTAGTCCGATAGTTATATATTAATCATACAAATGATTTGACGATTCATATTTCGTTCCATGAAATAGCGTGCATTCTGGAGAGTATAATGAACGGTCAACGCATGAAATTATAAGTTTCACATGATCGACGAGTAATGATCTCGTTTTTTATTTTATTATTGCACGATTTGCGCGGTAAAGAAATGCAGAAATCACCTAGTCGAAGAACAGTATTAATCGTACAAAAGTATTCAACTCGAGAAGCTTTTCATTTCAAAGAAAAGCTCGCAAATTTGATTTAAAATTCCATAGAACGGCCGCAAACGCAAAATCATTTGTAATACAAAATTATGAAAAAGATCTTAATAACGATAAGACTTATATTTTTAATTGATATACTATCTTTCGTGTATACGAAGCGATTCCTCGGATCGACAAAAATAATTTACGAGCGCATCCATGATTACGTAATCTTAAGACAGTTCATCCAACGTATCTATGAAAGAAGTGTCGACATCGCACGATGCTCGTGTCTTCGCTCGGCGGAGTGGATCTCGCGACGATTACGACCGAATTCTGGCGCGGCTGCATTTAATAATGGGGTTTCAATGAAACGCGTGTCGGTGACAGATAAACAACAGGTACGCTCATTCTGGCTCGATTCGATGGAAAAAAAAACACAATGTATCGCTGCACGAACACCGATTTCCGTGTGTGGACGATCGCATTGCTCCCAAATTATCGCGGTGCTTTCCTCTTCGTGCGTCAACTGTTTTAACTGACAATCTGCGATTGTTGAGCATCGATTACTGCCGGTAACTGCATTGGATAATTGAGTAGCGTGCAGGAACGAGTTAAATATATCGTTCAACGAAAATGATTTAAATGCAGGCTATGATATTTGAAGTGACGTATATACCTTTGATGTATATTTTTTTAAAAGAATTATATGTTTAAGGCTTAAATTTATGATCGGTCGATCTTAAGATTTTCTTGCAAGAATGTCTTGCACGCGAGTTTCTCCGTCGATCTTTCTGGTACTACGAAGTACGATCAATTTCAAAATCATTATCGATACGATTATTAAAACACATAATTAATGAAGGTGGCCTTAACTCCAGCTGCTTTGCATACTGTCGTTTTTCCTCCCCAACCTTTTTAACCTGATTGCAAAAAGTACCTTACGTACCTGACCGTGATCAAAATACCTTCGTGATATTTATGGATACAGAAGAAATAGAGTGCCGGCAATATTTATGTTCTTACTTAACGCTAATATAATTATTCATGAGTTATATTAATTAACGAAAGCCTGCCGTGTCAATAGGTTATCGGCGTTTGTCCCGCGTCGCTATAATCGCAATTGCTTTCAGTAAATTATTATATTAAACATGCACCGCACGCGCGCGTGCAACTTCTGCAATTGCGCGATCTATTTCGACGTCATGTCATGTAGAATCTTACATGCGCGCGCTCTCGAACCTCCGTTTGATCTGACGGCTCGAGCTCAGCTCAATTAACAGCTGACAAGCAGATGTTAGCGGCATCGCCGAACATTTATGTCAAAAAGATTATAAAAGCTATATACGCGTACAGCTTCGACGCGGCCGCTGCGCTTCCTGAAGGCGACGATGTACCGAGCACGTGCCGGAATCCATTGGGTAATATTAGTAAATAAAATAATAAAAGGGAGCAGTTTAAATAATCAGACGTTGCTTAAGCGCGCCACGTGCGTTGACTAAATTGATAGCGACAATCGAATCAATTTTATTTCGGATAGATAGACCGCGGCGGATCAATTACAAGAAAACGATACGCCCGTGTTATCTCTTCTCGTTCGTACACGTGCATAAATAGGAGAGGAGATAGAAATTCGAGATTATGACGCGTTCTTCGCCATGTTTCAAAAATGTTACGAATGAAATTAATTAAACATGGATTTCATTGATGATTTCATGAATTACATATATTACAAATACAGATGTTATCCTAAATTTTGATGCATATCTCAGATCACATCTCTCAAATTTGGAATTTTTTTAGTTTTATCTCGAGAACATGCGAAAAAATGATTTAAACTCGTATCAGATTGCCCGCGTTGGAGACTAGAATTCAACTAATTAGAATAAAATAATTAAATGAAATGATTAAAATTTAAATTATCTGATTATTTGTCAAATTCTAAATTCTTCAATTCGCAATCCTTAATCTCTGAAGAGTAGTCTGATATGGGCTTTAGACGAACGGGGGGACGATTACGGAAGTTTCCGTGAGATGCACGAATATAAGTACTATCGGACACCACGTCCGTCGGTCCCGCCGCCGTATCGGCCGGACTTCGCGTACTGGCAATCAATTCGAGCGATAATGAGTACGTGCTGACTTAACGTATGTACGCGCGGTCGGCAGTTGAGAGTTTGCGCTCGGACGGATGCGAAGTTATTGCCAGGATCCATTCGGGGTCCCTGTCATGTATATGCACACGCTGCATCCGCGTGTGCGAAAGGTCGCGAACGCGAAAGTCCCGCAAACGGTATTTACCGAAAGGTAATAATTAATAAACGCGCGCTGCCGCTTCCAGGTTCACGATTCATAAACCGCAAGTCGCCCCGTAACGCGAACTTCTCGTGAATCGATTCCGTTGCAACGCGCGCGTGTCGCTAAACGTAAACGATCGTATAGAAGGGTTATCTAATCCAGGTACTGTTTTACATGCGATACGCAAATTAAACGGTACACATCGAGGCGACAGAAAACGACGGGGGAAAGAAAAATAAATTCTTGAATGATTATCGATGCAAATATACCGGCGCGCGATATAGCTACTATTTACGCGATTATAAATATGATTAATTACGTCGACATTACTTTATCTGACTGGGTAAAATAGATTTATTTCAGAAATAATCACATATCGCGTTTGTAAATCGAGAATTTTTCAAGTATCTTGAAATGAAAGGAAGAATGTTGCGTACCTAGTTAGCAAAATATACATAACTTCAGAGGCGTTGCTTTATAATTATCATTGAAGGGAGAAAAAAAATTAAATTGATAAGTGTTACTTGAATGTACAAATACTATTATTATTAAGTGATAAGTATCTTTTGCCTTTCCTACGGACGAAGAATCATTCTACGTGACAAGGAATCATTTATATGTATTTCAATTCAATATATCTCAAGTAAAAACTGTTGCTATATCTCCTAAAACTATTCTACATATTTATAGATTAATTAATTAATTTTCAAAAACTATAAAAAAAGATTTAATTTAATTTAAATTATTCGAAAACTTAAAAAGATGTTATATACTTTACACGTTTCTTCACACGATTCTTCACGCGATACATAATAATTATTAGTAACAATCTTTGAATATTTGTAAATAAATGTATGTATTAAAATTTTTTCCCCATTTTTCTACCTTCAGAACGATTGTGAAATATATGACTTGCGCAAATAACGAAAAAGAAACGATTAAAACAAGATAAGTTTCATCGAATACTCAAGTCCATTTTTAATCAGTAAAAAAAGG